CACTGGCTCCTCCTGGGTCCAGGAGCATAATTTTGGGGCACGTGGATGGGGCAGCATCCCTCTAACTCCTTTCCCTCCTCCTGATTAGGGAGACAAAGGTGACACAGGACCCCCTGGCAGAGAGGTCAGTACCTCCCTTCAGAGGAGCGTGGTGATGGGGGTGGTGGGTACTGCCCCTGCTGGGGACAGACCCGGGCACCGAGGTCCTGGAGGTGACACTGCTCTCTTGGCAGGGCCGCAGTGGTGCCAAGGGCGAGCAGGGTGACAGAGGTGTGCCAGGTCCCCTTGGCCCTCCCGGCCTCCCCGGTGTCCCAGGGCAGGTCGGTCCCCCAGGCCAGGTGCGTAGTCCTCAAGCCCATGGTGCCACTCGGCACCGGACCCTGGAGTTTGTGCTGCCATGGGGTGGGCAGGACCCCTGCCCATGGCTGTCTTGAGGCACTGCCCCATGTCCGTGGGTGCCAGGTGCCATCGTGTCCCTTCTGCATCTTCCAGGGCTCACCAGGCCTCCGTGGGGTGCCTGGACCGAAGGTAGGTGTGCTCTTGCCCCTGAGCCCTCCAAGGCAAAGGTCTGGGGAGACCCTGTGCCAGAGGGCACGAGTCCTTGGAGGGGGACACTCCCTATCCCCAGGATGGCTGGGCTAGACCCTGGCGCTGGAGTCAGTGATGGGCAGCCTGGCTCTGCCTCCCCCCAACACCTTTGCTGTGTTTCAGGGGGACTCGGGAGAGCCAGGACTGCGAGGGGAGCCGGTGAGTACCCAGCACCGAGCCTGACAAACTGCGAGCACCCCAAGGTGGTGGCAACTGCAGCCACTGCCCAGGCAGCACCTGGCAGTGTTGACTCTGAAACCTACTGAGGGCAGCATCAGTGCTGCTCACCCAGCCAACGCACCTCTGTACATCTTTGCATTCCTTCTCACTTTGCAAACCTAGGGGCGACCTGGCAACCCTGGAGCACGTGGAGACCCTGGAACTGCAGTGGTGAGTCCCCCTCAACCTGCTGGGCTGGGACATCAGCCCTGGGGGATGGAGGAGCCTCCAGAACCCCCATGGTGGGAGCAGGCCAACACCTGCTTTGTTTTTAATGTCTTTTTATTGCAGAACATTGAACGTAGCCTGGAAGCGCTTGGCATCAAGGTATGTAGTCCCCGGCTGTTAGGCTGGGGGCTGTTTCTGCTGTGCAGCGAGTTGGGGGACACAGGAGGTGGTGGGAGATCTGAGTGACCCGGGACAGGTTGGCAGGGCTGTGGCGTGCTGCTGGGGCTAGGTTGCACTGATCCTCTGGCCGGTGGTTCTTTCCTCCCTCCCAGATTTCGTCGCTGAAGGAGCTCACAGGTGCCTACGACGGGAGCTCGGACTCGTTTCTGCCAGTGTCTGAGCGGCTGCGGGGCCAGAAGGGCAGCCGGGGGGAACCGGGAGAGAGGGGGCCTCCGGGCCGAGAGGTGAGCAGAGCAGGGCTCGATGCCATGGGGACACACAGCTGGCTCAGCCCTGGCATGCTTGGGGGGAACCTGACAGCCCCGACGCAGGGTTGACTCTGGCAGCACGGTGTTATGTTTTGCAGGGGTCCTTAGGCTTCCCTGGCGAGCGAGGACCCAAAGGTGACAAGGGGGACCCAGGTGCCCCCGGCCCCCAGGGCCCCATGGGCCGTGCCGTGGGCGAGCGGGGTCCCGAGGGGCCTCCTGGTCAGCCAGGGGAGCCTGGCAAGCCGGGCATCCCTGGAGTGCCGGGTCGGGCAGGAGAGCTGGGGGAGGCCGGGCGGTCCGGCGAGAAGGTGAGTGTGTATGAGGGCTGGGGGACCTGGTCCGGGGGCCTGGGGACAGCCCCGTGACAGCCACTGTGTTGTTTCCCCAGGGCGACCGGGGC